TAGTAGTAGTAGTAGTAGTAGTAGTCTTAGTCTGGTAGGAGTTGATGCTAACCCTGTCAGGGAGGTCATAACTTTAAACATAAAGACACAGTAAAGAACATATTGTTATGTGTTCGGTGCCTCCTGGGTTGGCTGCAAGCAAATTAAACAATGGTTTCCCGTCATATAGTCAAGAAAAGTCCGCAAATCGCATGATTAGGCATGTAGTAATCCCCCTCGAAAAAGCATAGGAAAAAAATTGGTTCCAACGGCTTCCGGAAGGCGTTGGCAGAGTTCCCAAGCCTAAATCTCCAAGGTAGCCAGTTAAGTCACTCACCTTGCGAGCTTCACAGGCACGGCATATCTGGAACCTATAGTGTTCATCCTGAGATCTCCTGAGGGAGGCCGAGGCCGGCCTGACGCTGCAGGAAGGAATGATGCTCCTGAAGGCTTCGAGCATAGGCGAGGTTCACACCATCGGAGGTCTCCAAACCATCCGCCAGCAAGAAGAACCTCCGGCAGGTCCAGCAGGGTCCAAGGGTCCAGTGAGGCGGAGTCCGATTGGATGAGGAACAGGTTTGGGGGGGATGTAATACATGTCTTAGCCAACTTAATGAGGTTCCGTCTCAAACTTCATCTGTTTGATATTTAGCACAAGTGTTTTTCTTAGCATACTTCATGACAGGGAACACCAACACATGAACAAATCAAGAACAAGGTGACTGTCATGAGTCATGACCCATAAAAGCGATAGAGAACATCTATGGTTCTGGACGAGGCCCGCCATACACCAGTGGCACCAGGGTAGTTCCAGGTTGCTCCTCCCTAGTGGCTAAGCGTCATGCACGGAAAGAAAAGAAAACGAAGTGGCCGTATTTTGTTTGATGATGCATGATGATACGCATCAAGCGTAGGATGATGTAGGATGGCTCCATGAATATCCAAAAAATCAACCTACCTCTCATGCACAGTGCATCACAGTGGACGTTTGTCCACCAGCTCCCCCAACTTGCAGCCATGGAACAACTCGGCAAAGAAGCTGAGATTTCCTCAGTCACAAAGGGAAAAAAACTGGAGACCATCATTCAGGGGGTTGCCTTCTTACCAGGTGAGTTCCTGCAACGGACCATCAGTGGCAATGTCCCATGCCTTTCTGCGTCCAAAGAAAAATCACTTTGGGTTTTCATGGTCTCAAAAACGAGAGGTCCTCGGGTGGAAGGCTCCCATGCATTGAGATAACACATGCTATATAGATAAGACGCGACTGAAATCACTCAGTCAGCAGCTTTGTCCGAGTTTCGAGCAATCCACAGGTTTGCCATGGTCGCCGAGTCATCTGCATACTCCTGGCGGGTTGTGATCGTGGTCCGGTGTCCAAAAAAAACAGGCAGTGGCAGCAAAAGAATTACATACATGCCCAAACCATTGCTGTCTGGAATAGTTACCTACATTAGGGTCATAAATGGGCAAAAAGCATGCAACTATACCATACATGATAATCTGGGATGGAAGACTATGGTACCGCAACCTCCAAAGAAGCTTAGAAGCACATCCAGGTGCTGCGCAAGGGTTATATAGCCGGTTAGCCTTTTGGCTCCCGGAGCCATTTTTGCTCTCATCTTGTTTTTCCAAAACAGGTGTCTCCACAAGCAGGGGACCCCAAATCACATGGCTAGGTTGCACGAATCACCACTGGTGTAAAATGGTTGTGGCGTATTGTGGCAACACATCACACCTGTTTAGGAAGGATAACATTTAACACCCAGTGCAGTAGTTGCTCTGTCCCCCTCATTTGCTTGGACACCAAGGCTTCCTGGTAGCCCGTGGCTTCATGCACTGGAGTCTCTGACAGCAGCCAGGCACGATAGCTGGGTTTTCCTCGGTGCTCGGCGGCGCTAAAGCTCTGTGGCAACAAAGTCATCAGCTCCGGAAACTGGATTTTAAAAAACACTCACATAGTATTCACCAAAAGGAGATTTACCCATAGGTATCCATCGGGAATATGTAAACAAATCACCTTGAACAAAACCAGGATTGTAAGAGTGTTTTACGACATCTGGGACCTCTTGGGACGGGGATCCATGTGCATCATCCACCCAAAGAAGTGCTTCACACGAAGGAGCTCAGCCTCTTTGGGTGGATGATGCATCAGCTCGGCATAAGCATCAGCTCAGCATAAGCATAATAAGCTGCTTGTTCTTCCAAGGAAGTGTATCAGTGCATCTTCGCTCAGCCGTACCCGGACCGAAGGACCCCGAAGCGTCTTCGCGGGGTGAGTCGCGCACCAGCCGAGTCCGCAGAGGCGGACGTGAGGCGGTCTTCGGTGGAAGCCCGGCTTCAGGTCCCGCTGGCCATCACCCATCCGCCAACAAGAACCACGTGTTATACTATATTACTTACTATGTTCTATTCTATTCTATTGGTCTGTTTAACACCTACTAAACCATGTTTAACACCTATTGGTACTTCTATTGGTCTGTTCTGCGGCAGCGCTGCGCACTGCAGCGTCACAAGTCAGAGTATTCTATGGCGTGTCCCAAGAGTTCTTCAGAGCGACATTTGTAAAATGAGTGTGTATCAAAATAGGGAGACCCCCCGGGCAACGAACCGCTGGAAGGTTGGGGGACCAAAGCCCAGTGGTTGGGGGTCTCCCTATTAAAATACTCACCCGCATGGGCGGCATGGTGCTGCATCTCTCCAAGAGTCCAGCTTTCCCATAGAGTCGCGTGAGCTTCTCATTGTCAGTCTCCAAGCAGCTGCCTTTGGAGGTGACACCAATTCTTGTAAAATGATTTAAACACCAACTCCGGGTGCTACCTGTGCAACCCGTATCCCTGTGCATCTCCAACCATATTTCCCCTCGATCTCAGGCATCAAGCAGGGTAACAGCAAAAAGTAAGATTAATTCGATCGAACAAGTAGCTTTGGCTGAGCATCCCATGGCTTGCCCTGCTGATGGATACACAATTTCACTCATTACCATCAGACTTGCTCTCTAATGCTCTGCCTATACATGGCAGTCCACATATATATTAAAACAAATCTCTAGCCACAAGGCCTACAGGAAAAGCATAGAAATCTTCAATGCTCTTTGTTGCCTTTCCACCTTTAATCTCCCCAAGCGCTGGAGACTCCGAGCTACGCGAACGCGCCCGAACGCTACTCACACGGCTCTGAAGACTCCGAGCTACTCACTCTCCAGCCCAAGCGCTCCAGCACCAAGACCAAGCTGTGCCTCAGAAAACGGCTGCGTGGATCTGCCCGCCAGGCGGGTTCCGCCGTAGCTGAGAACAACTGATCTGAAATGTGGGGCACCAGTGTTTGCACTACTGCTTGGTACAAAGTCGTTTGATCAAAGAATCTCAGAACATCAATGTAGAATGAAGAACCAGAATGGTCTACAGAAATTGTACATGTCGACAAGGTAGTCCCCCGCTCTCACACCCAGGCTCTTATGAGGCCTGTGGTAACCCTCCCTGAAACATTCTCATTGAGTAAATCAACATGATCTTCCGTGATCTTCCTATGGTCCATGTTGATCATTGCCTGAGGGACAGGACCTACAGGCAAGCTTCAATATTAATCGATGGAACATGGAACCTGTTTCAACTTGAACTGCGTGGGAGGGGGATCTATGAACAACTAACATGTAGTTACATGTTTGCTGCACGAAACTGTATGCATATCGGCTTTTGGCTACCCGAACAAGTCAAGCAGCATTGCTTTAACAAACTGCTCGCTGCGGATGTCCAGAACCTTTGGGGTCTCCTCCTCATCGCTGAACATCACCGCTGAATGCAGCTCTGAGATCACCTGGGCAACCGAACGCAGCAAACAATGAGCGGAGCCCAAACACTACTTTGACATGGCGCCGTTTTCACGGCGCCATCTTCGGTTGGTCTGTAGGATATGTAAACAGCATGCCCTCCAATAAGCAAGCAACCAACAGCTGGGTCAACCGTCGCTTCCTAGTGGTCCCAAGAAACCATGATGGATGGAGGGCCCATGGCATGGAGGCAGGAAGCGATGACCGTCTGTGTTGTTTAAAGGGATGTGTAGGGGCTCAAGAATGGAGAGGGGATCAACACCGAATCAACACATCTTTGTTTCAGCTTACCTGTTGAACATAGAACATCATAGCACCCCCCAAGCCTGGGAGCCGAGGGGTTGTCTCAACAGTCAACCTGACGCTCAGCCCAAGGCACCGGCCGCAGCAGCCCATGGCCACTCGACAGCGCTCGAGGTCGTGCGAAGTCGCTCGAGGTCCGCGCGCGGCTGCGCGCGTCCGGCACGTCTTCCAAGTTCCACTGGCCGTACTGGTCCGGTAGACCGTCGAAGGACCAAAGATGAATCCCCTGGCGCGTTGAGGTCCACGTGAATGATTCAGCATTTAGCATTGGATGGATTTGTCGGTTGACTGGTTCAAGGTTTATTGACTCGCCGATGGGCATATCCGATGGGCTTCATTGCAGCTTTGCACCCTAGACCGAGCCGTTACCAAAGACCGAGCCTGAAAGTCTCGGCGAGCACACAGCACAAAGCCAGGGTTCCCCTTCGCGCGCAAGGAGTTGCCACTGATGACCCATTGCCTTGGAGCGGGGCTGAAAGGTGATCTGAAAAAGCCAGATCTCTTGATGTAGACTTGATGAATCAATAAAGCCTCCCCATTTGGATTGAATGACCTCTTTAATATGGGGCGTGTATTAATTAGATACAGTATGTATCTGGGTTTCAGGACTATGCCGAAGTGAAGCCCCAATGAAAGAATAGGGTCAACTATTTGTTTACGACGGTTTCTATCTAATCCACAACCGGAGGCTTCTTGCAATTGTGCTTCGGACTTGTGGTATACAATGATGTGGATTCCACCCAAAAATCAAGACTTGCAAGCACTCGTCTGGCAAAATCTGCATCGGCTGGAACGGGCTTCCAGAACTGGGTTCCTCTCAACCCCTATCAATTAAAAAAGCACCGGGCTGAAGGTGGCCACTCCCCCAGAACTATTAAAACTGGATGATTGTTCTCATACTTGGGTCAACCATCTACTGTAATTATTGACGAAATTGCTGTGGGCGTTCAACTGCCAATGTTGTGTTGCTTTCGATGCCAGCTTGCATCCCGATTCGTTTCTGAGGGTCAAAAAAATATATGTAGCCTTTAACTTTACACCATTTCTCAATGTGATTTCAGAAAATCAGGCCTCTACATCCTGATTCCAACATTCCATCGAATTCTTACTCAAACAACTCTTCCAACCATCCTGCTTCCACCCATCCACTGGTGCTTTTTGCATTCCCCAAACCAACCGACCGAGGAGCCCCAGTGGACCGGGCTCGGACAGCTGCACCCATCCGCCGTTTTGGCATTCCTCCTGGGCCAACGCCAAAGCGACGCCTCGGGCCGAGCCGGGCGGGGCGTCGAAGCCCCATGCAACAAAGAGGTGTAAGGCCCGTGGATGATCATGGAAACGGGATGAATGACGAACTGACGAACATCAGTTTTGAGACGAACCTGGACTCTCAAAGAACAAAGATCTTGACGCCCAGATGTCAAACTCTGGGTCCATGAGAGTTCTTCGTGGTGGCACACTGCTGAAAATGGTCCCCTTAGCTTTGGGGAGATATGTTCAATGCTAAATGCTAAATAGTTAAAATCATGATCATTATTATGTTAATCACAAACCCCCCCCAAAAAAAACAAACTGTTCATACTGAGATAACTGAGTGTTCTTGATTCAATGCACACCTTCCTCCCAAAGAGGTGGTCCATTCATCCACCTTCCGATCCCAGTCGACCGTCCATCTCTCTTTCCGGGCGTCGGGGGTTGGCCTTCGGCCGTAGCACACCCTCAGTGACCTCCCAGGTCATCAGCAGCATGGGCGAGCTTGTGGGTAGGAGTCCTGCGATGGCGAGAGAGGTCGTCGCACTCGAGGCGTGGCCGAGGCGAGTTCAGAGTGGGTCGAGGGGTGATGGTTGGGTCGATGTTTTTGGGGTCGTTGTTGGTGTGTTTGGAGGCTCAGGTGGATACAGGTATCGTATCATCCTCGTTTTGTGGAATCTTGTGATATCCACGTCCGATTGTCGGGAGATATTGTGACTTTCCAGACTTGGCGCAACCAAAATGAGATAATTGACCAATTGACCCATACTGTACATGACCTATACAGGGCTATATAGCTCATAGCAGTGAAGTTTTCCGTGTATATAGACCCCTGGCTGGTGCTTGAACAACACAATCAACATGATGCAATCAGCTTAGGCACCCCGGTACGCAAAACGCAAAACGTAAGGTTCCGCACGTGTAATCCAAAACGTGCAGCCCCCCTTCCAAAACCCAGGCCCATCCAAATACCTATATGCATTTACTGTCCTCGGGTAAATGCATCTGTGTGGTCTGGAGGTCCACTTTTGCGGAAATATGTTCGTCTTTCAAAAAAAGAAACTAATGACTATGGGCCTATGGGCTACTGCTGGACGCTTTTCTCTCACTCTGGAAATGCATTTGTACATTGTTTGTGTCTGAGCTACGGGCTATGGGGTGCTACTGGATGCGTTTTTCTGGCTCTTGAAAATGCATTTGGGATGTTTCTGTGTTCAATGGCCTTCTTCTGTTTATGCATGAGGAAGTTCCAAAAACGCATCTGAGCTCCAAAACGTGGGAACATACGGCTCGAAACGTGAGTTTTAAAAACGCAAGGTTCGATCGCACAAAACGTAAGTAACCAGGCAGCTAAGGTTGGCAATCAGTGGTGCTAGGAGTCCAAACACCATCATCTAGTCTTTACCAAACAGCCAGAGTTTGGCTAAGGAGTTTCGATTACAAAGCCGGCTCAACCCTTCTTTCATGTTCTTCAAATGCTAGGGGTTAGACACCGAAGTGCGTCGCGATGTTGTGATGCGCCAAAGTCTCCACTCAGGACCGCCACCCAGGCATGCGCACCACCCACCCCACATGCTCCGGACACCCACAGGCCCGGACGCGCGGACGCACAGTCCTACCCATCCTCCGTCCACACAGTTGTCGCTCCTCCTGAGGATGAGGCGGGGATTCTGCAAGAGGAACTTACAATATATATATATATATTATATATATTTGTATTATATTGTTATTATGATTTTAATTGAGTATTATACACTTTTCTGGAGGAACATGCCCCCGGCTGACGAACTCATTGGCGTGCGGACCACAAGAAGCATAGTGGAACATGACCCCTTCAAATTCAGTTTGCACTGTTTCCAGTTGAAACTGGACATGTTTCCTTCGATTGGAAGGCAGGGACTAAGACTGGGGAATGCATTGAATATTATTGAATCATCTTGCATCTCGAAAAGGGTCTCAACACCACTGGTGAAACCCACTCGCTCAATCAAGTGGTTCCAAACCAGTCCAACACCACCACAAAGGCATGAGGCAATTAACTTGCCAACTATGGCCGGTTCAAGCGAGAAAAAAAAATTGAAGAACTGTTGGATTCTTGTGACTCCTCTGATGAATGACACAATATGCCCATAAGGGGTGTTTTTTGAACCGGACATCGTTTGATTGCCACTGATGGACTGGGGCAATGCATGAGGCTGCATGAGGAACGACAAAAGATCACGCGCGGCCAAGGATCACGCCCAAGACGTACGAGGGATCAGCCTTGCATCGAAACAGCATGGCGCCCAGCTGCCCGTTGTGCAGCAAAGTCAGGCAGCACGCTGCTGGTGGTTCAGCGAATCGTTTTGTTGCTTCAGAATGTTTCAAGGAATTGTTTTACTGAAAAATGATTGGATCTGTTGGGTTACGTATGTTTGTGTGCATTCTGGTCGGTTTATAGCTCTTAAGGCCGGTAGATTTGGGCTCTGGGGCAATCAGTCTTGAACATTTTGGTGGCTATGTCTGTGCTGCCCGATGTTCTCCTTTTTTGTGTGTTTGCTTTGTGAGCGGATTCATCTACAGCACTGGACTTGGGCTGATTTTCAAACCCTGTACCCAATATGCGGTTTGAGAACAACAAAATTCAATCGCAACCCTGGGCACACACAGAAAAAACAAAAATACAAACAATTCAGACATATTCAGACACATGTCAACACACACCCCGCTCTGTAGGTCAAGCGCAGTGAGGAAATGCGTCCCCAAGTCTGCCCAAGGTGTTTCTGTGCCGTCTTCTTAGGCGACCAACGTCACCTTGAGCCATCAGTGACGACACGTTAAGTTTTGATAGCCAAAAACTTACTTTATGTTCGTTCTTTGAGGCAAAACACGTACCATGGATTATCACATGGGTTGGGACATGATGTTCAACCAGGGGGGCTACCAGTTTCTATGCATTTTGAGATTTATTGAGCTGAGCGGAGAGACACACACACTCACAACATGAACAACCAACAGGTGGCACAATATTGCAAAGGTCAGCCCAGGACTGCAACAAATTCGGTGCAAGGTACACTTCAAGCTGGTACAACACATCCTCGGTCAATCGGTCCATACTTGATCGAGATGGAGGCAGCCGTCCATCAGTCCGAGTCCCAGTCGTTGCCAAGGGTTCAAGGCTCGGGACTCCAAACTTGCCACACGTGATGTGTTGAACTGGAAAGTTGGTATGCCATGGCATCAACAAGAACACTTGGCCAATGCATGCCGCGTCAAGATGTGTCAAGTGGAGTGCCAAGTGTATTCGCGGTTCAACGTTCAACTGATGAGCAAAACCTGCGAAAACACACACAAACACCACAAACGACAAACGCTAGACTAATTACTGGCAAGCACGTTGCCCATGTCAGTGTCAACGAGTTCTAAAGTCAAAAGGACGGTGGAAACTGCAAGGCTATTCAACTAGTCGCTCTCTTTTTTTTGACCACGAGTGTTACACAAGTGCTTTGCCGATGTGGCCAGGAGTGCTTTTGTGAGCGCCATCTGTTTGCCGGCATTTCCCGGTTTTCCATGTGGGTGTGAATGAACTACTCACCCTGAGGGAGACAATTTTACACAAAGCGATCAACAAAAGCTCTCAAAGGGTGTGTTTCCAAGCTTTTCATCAAGACCCAAAAAACGCAACCCAGTCACAAAACGATGCCTTGCCGCAAACACGCTACACACCTTTTCTGCACAGAACCGTTGATCAATAGTGGGATGTTGAGGAGCGTCTTGACACCTGGCACCTGGATCTCTCTCCATATGAAGAATGAGCCAAAAAGTATGTCAATTTCCCCTAATTGAACCAATGCTGACTGGTGCTTAGTAGGGAATAAGGGAATGAGCCCCCAGTAGAGACTCTATTGGATCCATGCCCTCATTCCCTGCTAAGCACCAGTCAGAATGATAACACATCTACGCACTACACATGTTAGGCGCTGCCCTCATGGCCGGCATCCCTCACCCGTTTTCCTCATCCACATTTGACACGCTTGTCCCTTGACACGCTTGTCCTGGCTGACAAATCCACACAGTTTACAGGGGCGAACAAGGAGCAAAAAGGTGCAATGTTAAACTTCCCAATCAGGCCTCCGGATTGTTCAAAAGAGTGATGCTAAGGAAGCTACTTCAGCCCGGAGGCTCTTGCTTGAGGCTCACTACAACTTGAGAGTGAAACACTACTCAAGA